TTATAATAGAGGCTCTACACGAGAAATTCCCATGAAAATTTTATGAGATAGTGACACACATAAGAAAATGATATACAAATTTCAGCTCAAAAAATCCTTCCCATTCTTCCCAAACTTTTTTTACAAATGGTCCACAGTTTTACGAGAAATAGAAATTATCTAGAGGACCTTATGAGACTCCAACAAATTTTTTTAACATGATAAAGACAAAATCAGAGAAAATTATAAAAATAAGAAATAGCGCCAAGACAATAAGGAGAAATATGAAACTAAAACCAATTATATTGGACAAAGAAAGTGATAGATATGCTGACTCAAAAATTTCCTTCAGGTTTCAAGATCTTCTGTAAAGTCTCCCAGGACCTGATATTTTATAGAATTGAATATAACACTCCTCACTTCTAAAATTGACCAAATTAAATTTAAATTAAAATATAAGATATGTAGATTTCAAATGAAATAAATTTTAGGTTAAAACTCCTCTAGAATCGTTTCCAAACAAATTTTTAAAGTTAGGGAAGAAAAACTGAAAATAGAAAACTGTCAAGCTCTATAAAATGTGTATATTTTTTTTCAAATTTCAAAACAAAACCAACCAAATAACACCTAAAAATGGCAACTTGACCAAACCAAACTCACCAAAAATTAAGGCACAATTTATTTCCTAACACAACATAACAAGAGAAAAAAAAACTAAAAATTATAAACTAATGAGTTGGTTATACCCCCCCACACTTATGCTTGAACCAGAGTTCACCAAGCACAAACACATACAAGAAAAGTGCTCTACATGTGTGAAAAATGGCAGTAAGCATATACCAAAAAGTGTATCCACTTGTGTGCTATGTGTACAACAAAAAATCAAGCAATAAGCAAAGATAGATACAACATTTGAAGCTTTTCAAGGTGGCTTGAAGTTGTGCTTCTCCTTAGCTTCTTCATTGCCCTTCTTGAAGAGCTTGCAAAGATGTCCATTGACTTGCAAAGTGGATGATGATGGCTTATGAAGAAGTTAAAGCACTCTATATGAAAAAACTTTAATTACAAGGAAAGGACCTTCCCATTTAGATTTGAGTTTATCAGTCTATGAATAAATCTAGTGTGATACAAGAGAACTAGATCATCAACATGGAATTCCTTTCTAAGAACTATTTGATCATGGATGAGCTTTGTTCTCCTTATAAATCCTTTAGTTTTCAAATGCATAAAGTCCCATCTCTTCCCAATTCTTAAATTTGAAGGAATCTCTTGTTAGCCATAAGCTCCTCATTGACATTGAGCTTCTTGATTGCCCAATAAACTTTATGCTTAAGCTCAACCCAGATGACATGCTTTCCCATAAACAAGCTAGTAAGGGACATCCTTAAAGGTGTCTTGAAAGCAGTCCTATTTGTGTTGACAACCTTTGAAGAATGGCTTTGACTTCCCTATTGGAGATCTCGGCTTTACCATTAGTTTGGGGATGACAAGGTGTTGAAACTTTGTGTTTGGCCCCATATTAACTAAGAGAGCCTTCATCACTTTATTGCAAAAATGTGAGCCTTGATCACTCATTAATGCTTTAGGGACTCTATACCTATAAAAAATGAAAGATTTGAGAAATTTCACAACAACCCTAGCATCACAAGTATGAGTAAGTATAGCATCAATCCACTTGGAAACATAATCAACACATGACAAGATATAATTGTTCCTAAATGAAGAAGGAAAAGGGTCCCATGAAATCAATACCCTAAACATCAAATATTTCACAAAAAGAGAATAAGCATTTGAGGCATTTCATATATTTTGCTCCAACTTAAGACTTTTTGACATTTTAAACAATTTTTGCAAAACTCAAAAGAATCTTTGAACAAAGATGGCCAATAAAGTCCACAATCTAATATCTTCATAGATGTTCTTTGGCATTAAAATGTCCTTCACATGTATAAGAATGACAAATTTAAGTATAGAAGACACATTACAATCATCAACACATTCTTAAGTACTTTATCATTATAAATCCTCCACATGAAAGGTAGTTCCCAAATGTAGTACTTAACTTCACTTTTCAATTTATTCAATTCAAACCTTGACCACACACATGCACAATATAAAACACATACACATATTTAGCCTGTAAATTGCCCATTTCACACTTTGGACCATAATCACATTTTTATTTCTTTATCTCATACATGACCAATCATCACATATATTCTCCACACATCTCATATTCACACACAACTACATTCATCCCCTAGCCCATCCAGTCATTTCCCCATTCCCACATATACAAGGGTTAGGGATCTTAAAATCACAAAACACAATATTTACCACAATATACAAATGCTCAATTCCTAAGGCAACTTATACATATTTTGGCTAATAATTTACAAATCATTACACCATATCTTACAAGGACTCAGGTGAGAGATGTCAACTCAGCCTATATCCTTTCTCTTTAACCCGCTAGTACTAGAACCTGAAAATATAAATAACTATAGGTGAGATAAAAATTTCAGTAACCAAATATAGTTCATTAAATGTCTACTACCACAAATAACAATGCTAAAAGTATAAAAACTAAGGTAATATCACGTATATTTCAAAATATGAAATGATTCATCTTTTCAAAGCAATTTCACACAAATACACACTAGCATGATCATCTAGCTACTGAACCTCCAATACTCCCTGACATGAAACCATAGGCTCTCCTGAATCAACCACTTGTTAACTTGAGCTCACTTTCGATGGTAGAAACACCCGGCCAAAGATAATCTAATCCATCTACAAACCATGGCTTCCCTCTTCACACACTTGTGATAGAGGCATCGTTAACTCCAAATCGTACCCTAATGGGCACTAGGGAATTGTCAGACTACCCAAATGTCCTATGGTAACAGTCTCATAATATGCTGTACCGAATTACCTATGGTAATAGCCCATATAATGTTGTACCAGATGTCCCATGGCGCCAGCCCAACCATATGAATTTTTCACTCCATATCTCCATATCTCCACCACACATCCCCATAAATCTTAGGTGAACTCTTACCCCCATAATTAGAGCTGATAATTTGGGCGGGCCGGGCTTATTTGGGTCGGACTTAAAGAATCTTACTCTTTCTAAAAAACCCATATAGCTAAGTCCGCCCTAACAGCTTCGGGCTTCGAGCTTATTCGAGTCGGCCCGAATACTTAAAACTTTTTTTAAAATATTTTTTATTTTTAATCAATTTTAATTTTTAAATAATTTTATTAAGCATAAAATATTTTTTTAACTACTTAAAAGGAATAAAAAATAATAGCTTATTAAATTTGTAGTTAAGTACTTAAGTAGCTCTATTACTATTTTATTGTATTATGTGCAATTTATTCATGAATATTTCCTTTACTTATAAATTGATGTCTTATTTATTTAAATATTTCCCTTATCATGGTTATATAAAAATATTTATATATTTTAATTGAATCATATTATTTTAATTATGATCAAGTTATCTCAATTCAACTACAGTTAGACCACTAATTTAAAATTATTGTCCTAATTAATTCAAAATTTTTACAACTATTAGATAAACTGTACTTTTTATTTTTAAGAATATAAGAAAATAGCATCATTATATTATATAAAACAAAATCATTTAATTATGGATAAAATACTATTTTTTGAATTTTTTTAACCTTTTATATTGTTAAGTCCTATATACAAAGGGTATTTACTTTAGTTCATTCTTAATTTTTAACTAAGTCTCACTGGATGATAATAAAATAATTATCTAAAACTATTAGTTTATTTATTATGTTGGTTTAGTAGTAGAGTCAAAATTTGTACATGCCCAAATTTTATTTTTAAAATTATTTTAATTTAAAATTAATTATCTTATTTTATAAAAATATAAAATATAATTTTTTGGATAAGAAAATGGTGGTATATGACTCAATTTTTCTAAAAAAAGATTGAGTCTTAAAGTATAAAAATTAATATTAAAATATATTTTAATTATTAATTTGAGATATTTTATTTGATTAAAAATTATAAAAGGAAATAGAATATTTTTATTTTTTTTTTTTTAAATAACTATAGTAATACACTCAAATATATGGTATTTTAAAATAAAATGATATAAACTTAAAAAACAATTAATATTTATTATATTATATATATTTTAAAAAAATGATCGGGCTTGGCCCGAACAATAAAAAATTATTATTTTATTTTGGCTCAGGCCTAAATTTTTCAGGCGGGTTCTAGTTGGCCCGTCGGGCTTAGCCTAAATTACCGACTTTACCTATAATCATGCCCTTTCACAATTTCCACTACTTATTCACATTTCAACAACATATATACTTCCATATCATATATGTATATATCCATTGAAATCAATAGCTTTTCAAATTCATTTCACAATCCAAAGTTCATGCTAAAACCATTTCAATAACAATCATGCATAAAACTCATAAATTCATAATTTATCATTTAGTATTCACTCCTTTACAGTTATAATAGTTAATAAATATAATAAACTATATAGTTACCTCAACCTTTCTGTTCGATAGAAAAGGTTACCCGTGTAACTTCAACCCTATTCAAGCTCCTTTCTTGTAATTCGTACGTCACACACTAGAATCTACATAAAATTGGCATTCATAGTCAATTCCTCTATTGACCAAAAGTGTCAATTATTATATTTAAATACTTAATCGCTATCATCTACACAATTTACTCTCAATTACACGCATTACTATTGATTTCCCCTCATTTCAAGCTTTAATATTTTTTAGCAATTTTCTCTCACTACTCTCTCTCTAGACTAGGGCAAATCTTGCCTATAACTTCAAAGCTTTATTATTTCAACTCCAACCAGTCACAAAGCACTAGTTTAGTTTTGAAGAACCTTTCTATTACTATAGAGTAAGAAATTAGCTCCTTAAAACTCCTAAATTTATTTTTTCACTAGTTAAAACTAAGAAAAATAGGCTAGATTCGGAGGTTAAGGCAGTACGTGACTTACTCAATAAGTGACAAGTCAAAAACACAGTCCTTACTCCTGATTATACTTGTTCTAGCAAATCTCCCCCTCTTCTCCACATTTGAGCTCTTCTTTCATGTTCTTCCTTTTGTTTTCACAAACTAGACACGTCCCTATTAATCTAATTTTTGATCCATGCGTTGCAGCGCATCTATCCTTAACCACAGTGCATGGCATAGTGGGAGAAATCCTCACTATGCTTACACGCTCTGCTTCGAGACTCCACTCTTCTACTCATATCTGTTCATATAACATCCTAATGAGTTAATATAACACTTCAACACTCAGAATCCTAATCCCACATTAAATTACTAATTCATTCACTAATTAGTCATTAACACAGGATTAGAAATTCAGGATGTTACAGTTAGGATATGGCTTGATTCTTGTCGCACCCCAAAAATGTGACGCGAACAGCACGTGAGTGGAGGTTCCGGCCTTCAGGGTGGGAACTAGATAGAACAAGAGTCGCCACCAAGATTTGAAGAGAAATCTTAGGAAACTGATTAAAGGAGGATAAGGATGGTCTGCGAAATTAAAAAGTAGATTCAAGAGTTGATTGAGTATGGGGAAAGTGTTAGGCATCCCACAACACCTGTTTGTGAGAACAGTTGCCAGAAGTTTGTTGTGCTATATTAATATGATTTTAAAATTATTTTAATTATCCCTTTTATATTCATGTGCTTGATATAAAATGATAAGAATTAAGTGAGAAATATTCATTTATTTATGAGGGAGGACTTGACTTAAAATCCGACTCTGAGGCCTAGTACCCTATGATGGGGATCAAAATCTACATAATTTGGGCTTAAAAGTTGTTGGTGAAAATATTTTTTTTGAAGAGACATTAATTAAAAATAATTCACCATTTTACAAATAAAACAATTACTAAAATTTTGATATATGTGTTTTAAATTGCAAAAAGTAATTTAATTTCAATTATTTTCTCAATTTTTGATTTTTTTTGAAATGAAGAAAAGAAAAGGGTTTAAAATTATTATTAATATTTTTATTTTATGATTGAAAATTTAATTGCTATATCTACAGAGACTTATTAGCTCATACAATAATGCAATTGTTCTAAATAATTGCGAAGATTTCAAAATCTCACATGATGAAATAGATTAACAATTTAATTTATTTATATTTTTAAGTGTTAACGATAATTTGTTTAAACGCATATATGTCTTTAAAGAATTTTAATCATCATACCTGTAAAGCCTTATTGACTTATATGGTAATATGATTATCCTAAATATCTACGGAGATTCTAAAATCTCACACGATAAAAGATTAAATAATGTACACTTAAGTACATTTTTAATTTGATTGATTTGATAAATAATTTATATATTTTCTTAAAAACTTGATCATTATATCTGCAGAGTCTTATTAACTCATACAATAATATGATTATCTTAGAAGTCTATGGAGATTTAAAAATCTTACGTGACTAAAAGATATAATTTGTTAATATGATTACAACTTAAGTACATTAATTTGATTAATTAATTTTTCTAAATTGTGCATTATATGTTATTTACAAAAATCATTTATTATTTATAGAAATTGAGAATCACCACATTTGTGAGGACTTATTATCCCACACGATAATGTGACTAATTTAAGTTTCTATGAAAATTCTTGAAATCTCACATGAGACTTAAATAAATTATTAATTTGGATTATAAAAAGAAAGTTAATTTTAATGATGGGCCTTTAGAACCCATATAAGTTTTACTCCCATATCTACAAAACCTTATTGATTTACCTAATATGAGATTATCCTAAATATCTGTAGAGATTCAAAGTCTAACACAATAAAAGGATTAAATAATATTTACTTTAAATATATTTTAATGCGTAATTATACAATGTCTATTTTCAAGTATACAAATCTTAATCGTTATACCTGCAAAGCCTTATTGACTCACACGGCAGATTATCCTAATGATCTACGAAATTTCAAAAATCTCATATGACCAAAAGATCTAATTAGACAATGCAATTATAATTTAAATTTATTAATTTAATTAATTAATATTATAAAATTTATTTTACAAAATTCATATAAATTGAGAATCGTGATATCTGTGAGGATTTATTATCCCATACAATAATATACTTAATTTAATTCTCTACAAAGATTCTTGAAATCTCACATGAGACTTAAATATTTATTATAAAAGAAAATTAATTTTAATAATGGGCCTTTGGAACACATATAAATACCTACAAGATTGATTCTCATACCTGTAAAATCTTATTGATTTACATGATATGAAATTATTATAAATGCCTACAGAGATTCTTAAAATCTCACACGACAAATAATAATTGAAATATTTGCATTTATAATGGGTGCATAATATTATGATTGGCTAAACAATTTATGCAATAAAGGAAATGGAAAGAATAGAGAAATAAATTATTTTGATCATTCACTTTCTTTCAAATTGAGGATATATTCTATAAAAAAAATCTAAATTTGGCATAAACTTTTAGCAAGGTCATAACTATGATAGATACAGCTTCAAACCACAACCAATCTCACAAATTATCAACAATATTCTCACATGTTTTTTTTTGTCAAACATCTCTCAGGTATCTTCTAAATTCTACATAAAAACATTTGATCACTAAATCTTTAATGTATATCTAAATTAATCCACATCCTCAATATCTATCAAGATATGTGTGTATGTGTGTGTGTATGTTCATCAACAAATCTAGGTTAAGAGAGATGACATAATTTAAATATTACCTGATTTAACTACCAATGACCACGTCCTTGAGTTGCAGCAGCCTGTCATTCTAGACATGCATTCCTTTTCCTCTCAAGATAATTCTTTCTTCACCTCCATCTCTCTCTCCTTTTTAAGATCCTCAACTCCCTCTTCTCTCCTTCCTCGATCTCTTCGGATCTCGCTCATCACCGTCCAGCTCTCTCCTTCTCGATCTCTTCTCTCCTTCTTGGTACTCTCTGTGTGTGCGTCTAGCGTTCTCTGTATGTGCTTTGTTTTTTCTTCTTCAGTGTCTCTTTCCTTTTCGGATCCTCCTCTCCTTTCTCATCTATGCTTTTTCACTCTCCCTCTCTATCTCGTTTTCCTCCAGTTTATCTTCCCTCGATCTCTTCTTTGCTTAAACCTCTCATTCTTTGTCTCTCCTTCGGTCTCTCTTCTTTCTCAAACTTCTTCTCCTTCTAGACTTCTCTCTCGATCTGCCCCTCGCTCTTCTCAATCCTCTACTCTCCTTCTTGGTGCTCTCTCCTTCCTCGGCTTTCCTCTCATCCTCGTGCTCTATTTTTCTTCTCTTTTCCTCTGTGCCTTTCGTCTCCAGTTTTCCTCCTTTTCTTTCATCTAGTTTTCTACGTCAGCTGTGTTCTTCTTCTCCTTCACTGGTGTTTTCTTCGTCTCCTTCTCTTTCTCCCTCATCTCTGCTTTCCCGTTCTCTTTTATCCTCTCGATCTCTCCCTCTGTGCTCTGTTTTTCTTCTCTTTCAGTCATGTGCATCTCTCACTTTTCTCTTCTGCCGTGCACGTCTTCTTCATCTCTTTTTTTGCCCGCGTGAGTGTGTGTCTTTGCATGGCTATCTTCTTGTGTGTTTTTTGTGTGTGTGCTATTCTGGTTTTCTTTCTTTGTTCTGTCTTTTCTTGCTACGCATGTGTATCTCCTGAATGCTTTTCCCTTGCTCTTTGGCTTTCTCTGTTGTGTGCAGCCAAGTTTTGAGGCTGAGGGTGAAAATGCTCTTTGCGTTTCTTCACCCGTGAGTAGCATTAAGAGGAAAAGCCCCTTTTAGGGCTGTGACATTCGGCCCTTACATGATTATTTTATTTTTATTTTATATATTTTTAATTATTATTATGTTTTCTTTTTTTCTTAATTAATTTTAGAAATTAGATTAAAAAATATATTATCATTATTATTTTTTAATGAAAAATAATAGGATTTAAGGAGAGAAATTTAAAAATAGTTGAGCCTAAAAAAATTTGATTCCCAATATCTTTGAATGGTTGAGATAATTTGGGGAGAGATTTTAAAAGATTTAAATAAGATTTTTTTATTTTGTTAATTTATTATTATTATTATTATTATTATTATTATTATTATTGAAAATATAATCCTAAAAAGGATTAAATTTCATTTTTATATTTTTGATTATTTTAGTGAAATAAAAGAAATAAAAGCTTAACTAACAAAAGATTATCTAAAATAAAATTAAACCCTATTAATTATTTTTTTAAAATATAATCCTAAAAGGATTAAATTTTATTTTTGTATTTTTATTTTTTTGTTTATTTATTATTATTTTTATTAAATTTAAAAAAATGTCTGGACAAAATAGAGTATTTACAATTCTAGTGACATTAATATTGTTTATCATATTCTGGAAATTTGACCATAAACTTGATTTGGGAAGAAAATAGGGTTGCTGAACATATATTCATATTTTGGACTATTGAGAACTATAATGACCTAGAAAATAATAATAAAATTAAATTAATATAACATATTATGATTGTAATTTTATAATGAAATAACTTATATACTTAACTTTATATATTTAATATACTTATTACTAATTATAAACTTCAGTGTCAAATTATAAGACAAGATAACCCAGATCAATAAAGTTCAATAATAATACTTTATAAACTTATTTTTTTAAAAACAAAACTATAAAAATTCAAAAAGGCTCATATTATCATTTCACTTCTCTTACTTTTTCAAAGTATCTTGTGTTTTAAAACAATAAAACTACTTTAAAGTTATTTTATAATTTGGGAGCAAGGAGTATTGAGTATTAAGGGGCTGAGGTTGGTAACGGAATTGAAAAAACTCAACTTTTTTTTGGCTCTATTTAATTATTATGGATCAATCCCATCCCACACGAAATTATTTAATACCATTACTTTTATGGTATTGAAAAATCAATCTTGAAAAACATTTTAATCAAAATAGAACTAAAAAAATTATATTTGAATGTAAATTTTGCATGGCCAGAAAAATTTTTGAAATTTGTAATTTTTGAATTCTTTTTTATAATTTTTATTTCATTTTTATAATTTTTGAAGTTATTTTTTATAACTTTTTTAGTCAACTAATAATTAAAGTGTAATAAAAAAATTGTGACAATTTTAAATGTTTAAGGTTTAAAAAGTATGAAAAATGAGTTTAGAATTCTGAATATCACTAGGTCTATAATTTAAGTGCCAAATAAATATTTTACCCTAAAAAATGGCACCCGTGGGAGTAAATAGAATTAAATATGAAACCCAAACAAGGTACCCTCAATTTATCGCTCATCTCTTTATTTATTTATTTATATTTCAGCCACAAGTTCTTCATCTTAATATTTATATTTATTCTTCTTTCATTCCTCATATGTATCTGCATCTGCTTGTGCTTCTCTCTTCTTGGCAATATAATTTCTGTGCTGTCCTTTTCCTCCTCCCATCAATCACTTTCATAGCTCTTGTTTCTATTTCCAAACAAAAGGAGATTAAAAAAAGAAAAACAAGGTAAAATCTACTGATTAGCTGTGGTCCATGTTACATAATCCCTTCATTTTCATTCACAAGGCACATTTTAAAAAATTAATTTAATTTAATTTAATAAATTATGATGTAATTTTTAAGTAATATTTAAAAAATATTTTTAAAATTGTCCTTTTATAAAAAAATAATATAATATCACTTTTTAAATTTATTATATAGAAATATATTTAAAATTTTATATACTTTTATTTTTTTTATTTTTTTACATTAATATTGATGAGATTGATAATAATAATTTATGAAAAAAAATAAGAGGAATATCAATTATCATCTCAATAGAACTAGGTGGAAAAAACCATGTGCTCTCCAAAATTTAAAAAGAATATATATATATATATATATATTGAAGACTTTGACTGAATTAACTTCCTAATGAGGGCAGAACTATGTTATGATTGGTGGGTGCCGTGGTCCCCCCAACTTCATGGCCAAAATTTTCAAGGAAGGAAAAAAAGTGAATTAATTTGGAGGGAAAGAGGCTTGTGAAAAGATTGAAGGAATTAATTTAATGAATATGTACTATAATTAAAAATCACGAGAACGAAGGAAGTAGTAGGTGAAGCTAATAAAGACGGTGGGCCCAAATCATTATTATTCGGAAAGTTAAAAGCTTATTATGATGATGGGTGATATTGTTATTTTGACATATGATCATATCTCTTTGCAAGGATATGAATATATCATGCACCCGGGTCATTTCAATTTTTTAGTTTTTTATTATAATTATTTTTAAGGTCCGTTAAAATACATCTTGGCTAGATCTTTAATATTCTTTCTAAAAAAGTTACAAGTTATGTTAAAGGATGTTTTTAAAAATTATAAATTTAAAAATATGGATTTTTAAATATTTATATAATACACTCTCCATTCAAAATATAAGGCATTTTTAATTGAATATCACCTTTAATAAAATAGTTATCTACTTTTAAACTAACCCTATCTTTTCATATTTACACCTATTAAATACTTTATAATAAATATAAAATTATTTATTAATAGGGTCATTTTAAAAAAAAAGGTAAATAATTATATTTCAAAAGACTAAAAATATTTTATATTTTTAAATATCTAATTTCTCAAAAAATGTTTTATATTTTTTAACAGAAGGAGTATCAAACAAACTTTTCATTTAATGATATTTTATAAGTTATAAAATTATTTTTAAGAAAATAAAATATAAATACACACATATATTAAGTTTTAAAATAGGCCCCCTCATAACTCTAGAGATGGTTCCGCCCGTGTTCCTAATCATCCATTAAGGAGGCTCATTTTGTCTTTAAATCTCATTATGCATTCTATTTCAATTCATTGCCCAGTCATAAGGTCCTTCGCGCATCTGCTGAATTGTGCTCTCATGTTTTTGTCTCAAAATTTCTTTCTGTTGCTCTTCGTTGCTCGTTTTGTTCTCTTTGAATTTTCCAAATTTTGATTTCGACAGTTTCGATTTAAATATATTTTTATTTTATATTATTAAAATAAAAATTTATAAAAATTATAAAATAATTATAGTAATTTTTTAATTCAAGTTTAAATTTAATTTAAAGGGTCTAATTTAATATTAATTTTTTTATAATTACAATATATTGATATTAATATGAACTATATAAAGTATATTTAAATAGTCAATATGTAGCAATTATAAAAATTTTAATATTAAATTAGATCTTCTAAATCGAATCTAGATCATATTAAAAATAAAAAAGTATTAAAATTATTTTACAATTTTTATAAATTTTTATTTTAATAAATATAAAATAAAATAATATTTTAAATTTAAGTCGAAGGAGATTGAGAGGGAAGGGGTGAAAAAAAAATTAAATTAAATCTTACTCCACATCACATGTCAACCTATATATACTGAGGATGGAAGGCTAAAAAAAGAAAAAATAACAATGAAGAATCACTAATTAAAAATTATATCCGCCAAGGATCACTTGTTATTAAAATTTGAGTGAATACTTGTGAATTCGAATAATAAGTATTCATTTAGATTTTAATAACAACTCATTTTAAATTAACAACAGTTCATTATAGCATGTTTTTCATTCAGGTTTTGATAATAATTGGTTCTTAATTAATATAAATTTCATATAGAAATCCTTGGTTGCTATTTTTAAAAAAAAATACAACCTTAAATCCCCTAATTCATTTAGATTCATGATAAATATTCATTCAGTTCAACATTTACTCTTCTTTCTTCAATCTGTTTCTTTCCTTTTTGCCATTATAAGTTGTCCTTATTTTTCAGTAAGTCATCACATCGCCGTCCTCGTCCCTGTCATTGTAACTCACAAGTCATTCATGCTCCTGTTTTTGCTCACTCTTCAGTCGTCCCTATTGCTCATTCTGATAGTACTCCCTCCCAAGAACCAAATCTTAACAATGCTCGACTAGTTGATACTCATTGTCATCAGTCTCCCAAGTCTTTTTATCACTTATTATGCTTGTACATTTATAACTCATGAGTTAAGCTCTATCTGATACACATATTATGCCCATACTCTTTGTTTTCCTCGATCTCCTAGTCTCATATCTCAGTTTTTCAAGGCTCAATCTCATTTAATTTTTATTGGGTGTTTGTTGACTTAGC